TTTGTTAAGTGATTTATGCACATTTATCCAGAGCATAATTATCTTGATTAATATTGAGAAATACAGTATTTATAATCCCTATGTTTAACAAAGTGCTACATGATTAGCCCTTTAAAAATAATTAACCCTCTTGTATATAAAATTTCATAATTTCATTTCATATTATGAAGTGCCAACTAATATTTTCAAAATTTTAATCACCCATATAAAATGGATCCAGTGGAAATATGTGTGAGAAAAGTACTTTAGCTCTGATACTTACAAATCAATGAGAAATTAAACATTATCTTTTTTTTGCAGCGATCATATATTTTTCTGGTCTTCTGCATTTTGCATTTAGATGTTAGATGTATATTAGTCAATTATAGAAGTACTTAGAAAAATTAAGTTACTGAAAATTAGAAAAAAAAACCACGCTATTGTGCAAATTTATTTATTGATTTGGCCCTATTTTCACCTACGAGTGAAAATCATGTCTGGGATTAGTAAATCCTCTCTATTCCCCACCACAGGAAACAAACATTAAACACATGATATGTAGTTTATAATTTCATGACTTCTAATGAGATGAGATTTGTCAGTATTTTTCTTGGTGGAATATGGACCAAATCTGCTATTTTCCTGAACAGGAAAACCCAAATTCCTTGCATTTCCTTAAATGACTCGGGCAATTGCTCTAAGCTTCTGTTATGCTACTTAGGAAGAAACCCACGGTTAACACATTAAGAATCATTAAAAAAGAATCAATTATTTTCTTTCCTTTTTTTCCCCTTCGAGAGCATGAGGTACAAACAAGAAGATTTAAAAAAATTTTAGGGTAGTCGAATCTTCTTTTCTTCATGGATGTCTTTGAGCTTTATCAATTTGTAAGCTAGAATTGTGTGTGTTGGGAAGGACTATAGTAAGAAAAAACAAAGACTGAGTATCATCTTCAAGGGCCTGTTAGGACTTGGGAAAACGTCAAAATTAAAATTAAAGTTTGATATAGGATTTGTTCATATTAACTTTTAATATACCCTCTTTAAAAATTCAAAATTGACGCTTGTAAAGTTTTTTCCCCCTTCTGTTTAGGAAATATATCTAAACACTATGAAAAATAATAGCATACAGCAAGGCAACCCTTCCACATACACTACCTTAGATATTTCTCATCTACCTAGGAGGTGAAGTAGAGAAATACTATTATTACATCCAACTAACAGACAGGGAGACAGAAATTTAAAAGAAATTAAGGGACTTGCCCATTATTACATTTTAATTGTTGGAGGTCTGTTAAAATTCCATAGCTTGGACCCTTAGCCTCTACTATAGTACCACTGAAGAGACTGTTATGAGAGCCTCTGGATGGGAGATGGGTCATATGCAGAATATTCTCCTCCATTCATTATATGCTGCAGGCATTATAGCTGCATTACCATTCCTATATCCAAGGTTGGAAATGGCATTTGATAAGTTTCTACAGAGCTAGAAAGCCCAGCAGGACACAGGTGCCTGTGAGGTGTAGCTTCTGAGATTTCCTGGACCTGGCTAGTTGGCACAATTGGTATCACATCAGTTTTTCAAGAAGCTCCCACTTGCAGTCTCAATGCTGAGACAAAATATGAATACAGCCCATTTTCTCAAACTTCATCTACGTCCCTGCATTTCTTGATGTGTAATCTCACTCCCTAGCTGAGACTATTGGGTTAAGGTAGGAATAAACAGTATGTTGGATGGGTGAAGAGGGGAAGGTGGATGTGGGAGAAGAGGGGACAAAAGTCTGTGAGTAAAATACCTTGAGGTAATAATTTTCCTGGTGTTTTATCTCTCCATCTCTGGAGTATCTCAGAAAATTCACTCCTTAAATATGCACCAAGAGGACTTATACTTCCAGGAAGATGGAGTAGACATCTTTTTTCCTTTTCCTCCCACTAAATATAGCTAAAAACCCTGGACATTATGTATAAAACAAACATGATTCTGAAAGGCAGAAAGAAGGCACAACAGCAGGGTACCTCAAGAGCAAAGGAACAACAAAGTAGTGTGTTCGCTGTTTTTTTTTTTTTTCTTTCTGTTTCAGATTGAGAACTGGAGAAGTTGGTAGCCCAGAAAGGCCAATGAGCTTAGACTGAAAAAAAAAAAGGGGGGGGGGGTTGGAAAACAAACAAGACCATTCTCTCCAGTATTTAAAGGTATAGGAAAGGTGCAGCTTAGTGAAACAGAAAACTTTTAGAATTGTAGCCTCACTTTCACCATCAGCAAAGGCTAAGTGGAGTGCCAAGACCTCCACTTTCACCAGGCTGTAGATGTTCCAGGCTCCCACTGAGGTTGTATAACAGAAGGCTGGGTGGGGAGCTGGCACTTTCATCCTCACCAGTTAATAGTAAGAACCTTCCTCTTCTACCCTGGGTACCCATGAAGACCATGTGGGTAGCCTGGACTCCACTCCCACCTGGTGGTAACAAGGCAACCTATCACCAGTGTCAGTGGAGGGCATAGGAGGAGCAGTCATGAGGCTTCCACCTGCATCTGGCAGGAAGAAGGCATCCTCCCTTCCTACGAAGGACTGAGTGGTGTCAGATGACTGTTAAAATACAAAATTTAAATAAGAGCCACAGCCTTTTAAATATAATACCCAAAATGTCCAGATGTCATCATCATACTAAGAACCGGGAAGATCTCAACTTGAATGAGAAGACAATCAACAGATGCTAAACACCGAGGTGACAGAGATGTTAGGATTATCAAGGATTTAAGCAGCCATGAAAAGCTGCTTCAGTGAGCAATCACAAATATGCTTGAGACAAATGAAAACGCAAGTCTCCACGAAGAAACACAAGATACAAAGAACAAAATGGAAAGTTTTGAACTAAAAATACAGCAGCAGAAATAGTGAACTTAAGGATACAATACTAGAAATTACCCAATCTGAACAAGAGAAAAAAAACGACTGAAAAAATAAATACAGCCTTAGGTATGCATCAGACTATAACAAAAAGATCTAACATCGGGTGCCTGGAGTCCTAGAAGAAAAGGAGAATGAAGGTGGAGTGAAATTTTTGTAAAAAGAAATAATGGCTGAAAATTTCCTAAATTTGGGAAAAAGGCATAAAACTCTAAGTCTCAGATACTGAGTGAACCCCAAACAGGATAAACCCAAAGATATCCATGCCGAGATACATCACAAACTTCTAAAAACTAATGACAAAGAAGAGTTATGAAAGCAGTTGAGAGAGAAATGATGCAGGAAATGTACTGATTTTTAGCATTAGGGAAATAGGCTGGTACACTAAAACTACAGATAATAGAAATGTAAGTATTGGCAAGGACCTTAAATTCTTCACTTGATTTCAACTATTTTTAACTCAACTCAGTGAGCTAACATGCACAGAGCATTTACTAGATATCTACAAATTGTGCTGGGCATCAGAACATTTGCTAATCCCATTCTTCTTGTAACCTGCTCCACAGCAGGTGTTATCCCTCATAGAAAATCAAGGAATTTTAGAATTGGAAAGATCCTGGATGGGCTTCAGCTCTGAAACTAATCTAAAAATGTCAGCATGCATGGGAATTTTCCTAGAGAAAAAGATGATAGCTTTCATCAGATTCTCAAAGGAACTGGTGGCCTAAAAAGGTTAAGAGCCACCATAAGGGTTCTGTTCTTTTCAAGCAAAGCCACATAATCCAACCTAAATAGATTAGAAATGAGGCTATTTTTAGAGGAGGTGTTCCCCATCATATCCATCAAAATTCCTGCATGCCACCTCAAGACAATTCTCTACTTTTAAGGGGAAAATAGGGAAATGGCAGTTTTCTAATTCCTCCTAGGCACTTTTGGAAATACACGTTGACTAAAGAATGTTTGCCTGTAGTCTTATTTTGAACATTTTAAAAATAGTACCTGGAGGTGACTAAATGACTACAGCACTGTGATTTAAAATGCACTTTAGGTTTGATTTCTCCCATCCCAATGGAAAAGCTGACGTGCAAGGAAGGAGCAGCAGTCTTTCTACGTCAGCACCAATGGGCTGGTGTATAAGAGATGACAACTGTTCTGTAACTTGCATCATTCCTTTTTCCTTCTTTAAAACACAAAAAAATGCATGTACAATCAAGCTCTATTAATTACGTAATGTTTAACTGCCAATTAATTTGAATAAAGAATGTTAGTGCTTCCTCTAGCAAAAAATCAAAACAGCTGTGACAAAAACAAGTGCATTCTGTTTTCATGTCTTTATTCTGTGATCCTTCTTCACTCCTTGTACCCTTTAACCAAAACTTTCATGAAAGCCAAGTCAGCTCACGCTAGAATTGCACCATAAACAGGATTTTAGGTTGCTGGTGCCTGTTTTCGGATAAAAATTGAGGCTCCCAGTGTCATCTGGAGAGCTAGAGATTGGAAAATGCATTTTAGGAAAAAATTTCACTACTTACTTCCAGTGTGACCGTAAAGTTTGATTTCCTTATACTATTTCATGCTGGCTACAACTTGAGAATCAAATGAACCACTGAGGACCCATCCCACAGCTATAGAACCAGGAGAAAGACCAGGAAATCAAAAAGTCTTATCATGTGCTTGGAATGATTCTTGGGTTCAAGCAAGTTGGCAGTCTTCTTAAATCCGTAACGTGCCATACAAATTAACTTGGGCTTTGGAAACAAATGCTGTTCCTGATCCAATTGGTCTGGGTGGGGCCTGAGATTCTGCATTTCTAACAAGTCCTAGGTGATGTTGCTGGCTTGAAGACACTTTAAGTAGCTAGGCCAGAGAGGATATTTCATTTGGCTGGCGTGCAAATCAGTTTAGGCCATTTCATTTTCCTTCTATATTTCTAGATTTTCTATCAGGGGCTTCTCTGACCTTAATGCTGCCCAGTTCTCATTTATCACTGATTATGTCTCTTCAAGCTACTGCAATCAGTTAACACAAGGCATCCTCCCCTTCTCCACTTAGCTCATATAAAAATCCGCAATGGATACAAACATCCCCAAATAAGAAATGGACACGACACATTAACTTATAACATAATGGGTTTATATTTAATATAGTACTTCTCATCAGGAGGATGTTACTCGGTTAATATCAAGTTTTTTTTCAAAACATTAAATCTCTTCCATGTCAATGTCTATAGTTTTTTTTTTTTTTTTTTTTTACATTAGATTTTTTCTGCATTTCAGTATTAGATACACTGAATACACTTTTCTAAATGTTTTTTCCCCCAGAGATAAAAGTTTTCCTTTTTGGCTGACTCTCTGATATCTAAATATAATATTAACTTGGGAGACAACAAAAAAAAAATCTAATAAAAAAAAGGAGAAAAGTCTCCTCAACGATTCAGGAGGCAGTGATTATAACCAAACAGTGGTGATTTCCTAAGATTCTGGGCAAGAACTTCCTTCTTCCTATTTCACATGCTTTGAGAGAATTCTAAGATTATGAAATATTACTTATGTAAATTTCAGTCATTTTACTTCTTTGACCTCCTTTCTAACTAGCAAACTATAGGCTGCATTTTTCTGTGCATTATTTGTTGGAAAGAAAACATTTTTTTTTTTCCATTTATAAATGTATGTTTGTTCCCATTTCATGGAAACAATGAAAAATGTGAAACTCCCTTATTTACTGATTCTTGGAACCTTTCACACACCAGAGCTCAGGTTTAGCCTCTATAGCACAAAGGTTTTCAAGGTGAGGTTTGACTCAGTAGGCCTTTCAAAGTCACATTTGTCCATTTCTTTTTCGTGCATATACCCCCAAGCAGGCACAAATGCCTGTAATGCTGAGAACCACACCTAACAAAAGGGCGATTGCATCACCGGCTTCTACTGCTTCCACAACAGGCAGCACCAAAAGCAGTGACATGAGGACTAAGGACAACTGTGTTGAAACTGAGGTCATGATGTTGGAATCTGGAGGCTGAAGGTTCCTAGAAATTAAACATGGAAACAAAAAGGAACCATTAAAAATTCCTCCCTTTTCAAATGACAAAATGAACACATGACAAATAACAGGCCAGCCAATCTTTTGGAAACTTTATGAATCATTTCCAATCCATCTCCTCATCGGTGGAAAAACAGAGGCACGTTAAAGACAGTAATTTGAGGCTCATCTCCCTATCTCATGATAACAATCTAATTCCAGGAATTTTCCACGATAATGCCAACACCTTGTGCATCAACCAAACAAAAATTGAACAGGAGTTCATAATTAAGAAAAAAAGAAAAAATGCACGAGCCACTAACTTGGAAACTTAAAATATCCCAGTGGGTAAAAATTATACATTTTCTCAGGGTCTCTCCCATCCAGGAAATGCAGACAAATTTGGCAAAAGTCACACAACATATAACTTTGCGAAGTTGTGGGGAATTAATAAGACTTACCAAAGAAATGGTATATATAGAATTCTATCTGACTTGAAATTTTCCCTTCCTGGAGCTCCGGATGCTGAGATTAAGATGTTCCACGTGACACGACCTATTATTAGCATGGGGGGTGGGGAGGGGGCGGAGAGAAGGATTTAAAAATTAATTATTATTACTATTATTATTTTAAAGAGGCAGCTAGAGTCAGTGCAGAGCGTGGAGGCCATATGGACGGTAGAGGGATAGGTAATGAGGAGAGGAAACAGTCTGTCCAACAAGGAACTAGACTTAAAAGTTGGTCAGTTCACCCACACAAAAGGTAAAAAGAAACAGAACAGAGAGATAAGTTCATTTCAGGACTTGATATTAAGATTTGAAAAAGAATTCCTACTTTGGAACGGCAAGGCCCAAATTTGCTCCTGTTTTACAAATACACTGGTGCAACCTAAGTATCCGTCGGAGACGAGTTCGTACATTACCTTCCAGGAAGCAGCCATTACAGGAATGGCGAGGAGGGCGGAGTCTCCAAACTACATTTCCCACAATCCCTGCCGCCGCCGACTCCCATGATGCCCCGGCGCGTTCCCCCTGTAAATGGCAGTGGGCGTGACGGTCACGCTTTAGCGGAGGCGAAAAGTCGCGAACGCGCGGGGCTTCCTTTCACTGCCCAGTTTTACTGTTAAATGCATGGTTTCGTGTGTTTATATAAAAGCTCACTTCAAAATAAAAGAAATGATAGCAAGTTTTCTACCCTGTTGAGTCTGTAAGGCGGACTTGTAATTCTTTTTCCTCGACTGAAATGACGCAGCGGGGAGAGAGTAGAGCCCTCTGTTCCGGATGCTTTTAAACCAGCGGCTTCCAATGTTTCTGAAGCAGGAAATCTCTGTCACCATCTTCCTAATTAACCATATGCCATTTATTAATTTTTTAATCAATGGGGAAAAAGCGCGGTTAGTAAGGCATATCATAAAAGGTTAAAAAAACATCTGTAGTGCAAAAAAGGATTTAGGAAAAATGGGTTTAGCCCTATTGCAGAAGATCTCTCAGGATTCAGGTCCTAAAGTGACAATCTATTCAAGAGTGCACTGCGGTGATTTCTTCCCAGCTATGTTTTTGTGAAACCTCTGCCCCGAATGTCCCTACATATTTATGAAAAGATGTAAAAATACTGCTTTTAAATCATAAAACAAGAATTAGTTATTTGTATATGTAAGTCGTAACCTTTCTGAAAGACGCTCTTTCAGTAGTCTAATAACTGTGAACTCCTTCCTGAACCTTTGTAGTCATCTGATCTTCTGAACTGTTTCATATTCACTGATTTGAAAATTTATTTGCTGTCCTCACATTATAAATTATTAATGATGAGGGTTGGGTGTGAAGCCACCTGCCTGATCTGAAAGTCCCCTGGTTCAGTCTGTTAGATAATGCAGGTACATTCAGTTCAATGCCCATAATTAGCATGTATTCTTGTGTTGTCAGTCACCCTTTTTCTTTCACGTTCCCAGTCTCTCTAGCGAAGATTTATATTCTTGGCTCCTAACAGGCACCCAGCAGGTGCTCAGTGATGTTGCCTAATAATAATGATTTGATTAGATAAATGTGCCAACAAGATCTTATGAGAGACCAAGAGGTGCCAAATAAACCAAACCAAGGTGACTAGAAAATTGGAAATCTGAGAATAACTGCACAATAACGTCAACATTGTTTCTCTAACCTTGATTATTTTAACAAGGTTTCGTTCATTGCATCCTTTGTTTTGAGCTACCTTTGTGCCTTTGTAATCAATTATATTTGGAATAGGAGCTATATTTTTATGGCTTCCAAAATATTCTCTCATATCCTACTGTGAACATTTTGTTTTTCCCTACATGTTTATTTTTCCTTATGTGTTTATTTTAGTTAGCTAAAGTCAGCAGAGACTAGTTTAAAGTTAGTATTGCTACAGACTTGTTTCTAGGCATGTCAACATTAAAGATACTGGTTTGGTTTTAAGTTTAAAGAGTCTGTAAGTGGCAAGATACTTTCTCTTTAAATTATAATGGTTTCTATTAGTTTGTGATATATATTATATTTGGAAATGTCGATCTCGGAGGGCGGGGTTCCAATATTAACTGATGTAGTTGCAAGGATTAATTTCTGGAGTACCACGAATATGATATCTCCTTCACTTCTTTGACCTGCTCCTACTGTGTGATTTTTAACATGTCTTCACTCTGTCTCAGTGAACTGTTATTTCCTAGCTGTAAACCTGATTAGATATTTTGACTAGATTGCTGACCGGGATAATAACTGCCATGTTGCACATGTGTGGTCTGTCTTCTAAAAAAGGTGATGATAGATGAGCAGCTGCTTCTGTGTCCAGCATCGACTAACCACAAGTGCTGCCTGTGAACATCTCTGGTAGCAATGTGAAACACCAATTTTCTGAAGCAATGCTACACTCCCATTTTTCCCAAGCTATATGAATGCTTCTACAGACTTCTATGTAGTTGTTCTTTTGACATTAAGTGTCTAGGGTTATAGAACCCAGAATTTAGTCTTTTGATTCAAACAAATCTGTGCCTACATCATCCTTTACTAAAATAGAGATCAACGGCATCAATGATACTTAAAGAACTTTAGTTACTTAACTGAGCAGTGGAGAGCAAAATTTTCCATCAGATGTTACCCAGAAATGGTTTCAGGAAAAAAAAAAAAAAAAGAAGTGGCTTCTGCTCATTTTTCTGTTAGAAGTGTCATTGGTAGACCCTGAAGGAAGGCACCTCTGGGATCCATCAGAGGATGCAGGACAGACCAATATCAGGATTTTGCAATGACTGGTGTGTGTCAGGGAATTTATAAAGCCCAGACTTCCTCATTAGCAATTGACCCAAGCCAAGTGAGTCAAAATATTTTACTGGAGCTTCACAATTAAAAAAAACCAACCCAGACCTAGTCAGTATTTCCCATAATTAATAGGACGTTAATCACTGAGAATGTTAGAACTAACTACTCATTAGGCCAAAAGGATGGGATAAGCTACACTTTCCAGAGCTGTTCAACTATTGCAGAGAACGTCTACTGAGGCTAAATACCTCTTGTACTAGCATTTACGGAAGTGTATGGGAGAGGTGTAAAAGGTCATTTTGGGCGCAGTTCCAGGCACCACCTAGAGCCCATTATGTATATGGTCCTTCCTCCCACCAGTGAACATCAGTTGTCTGTGGGAATCAATCATACGCGCAAGCTTGTGGAGGATGGGGAAGTAGAGAGACCCCACTCATAGGCACGACAGATTCCACTTTTACTTATATTTCTGACCTTCTTGGAGTAGGTTAAAAATTACTGGATGCGACAAAGTTCTAGTTTTGAAAAGTTGTGACGTTATCTATATAGCACTTTATCCATGGTAATGGACTGAGTAAGGCAGGGTTTGGGGATCATCAGAGGTTGATTCCAAATTTACCTCTGCCACTTTTTAGTTCTGTAAACCTGTGCAAATTATCTAAGTTCTTGAAACTTGAGTTTTCTCATCTGTAATAAGGGGATCACCAATCTTCATAGGGTTGTTAATGCAGATTAAATGAGGTGACATGTAAAGTGGCTCAGTGTGGTCAGTGTCAGTGCCACTATTATTGGCAACAGATTAGATTTTTAGACATGGAAGTAGCTGATCATAGAGTATTTATTAAGTGCTACACAAGGAAATTTAAAATCAGAATTAGCTTCCATCATGAGAGTATGAACAAACATTTATTATGGAAAAAAAGATTTTCTTAGAAAACAGGGTTTCATGCTGCATAGGGTCAGATTGACATTTATATTTAACAAACACTTAAAATAGGGACTAATGTACACCAGTAACTATTCCATACATTAACAAATATAAGCCCCTCTACTCCTTAAAATAATCCTGTGAACTGGATACTATTGTCATTCTCTGATGAAGAAATTGAGTCATAGTTAAGTAATTTACGCCAGGTCACATAACTACTGAGTGGTATATATCCAGGAAATATGACAAACTCTATACTTTTAATCATTGTCCACATATTGCTATGTGGAAAATGTCCACAGGATCAAAAATCATTTTAATTTTCTTTGAAATAAGGTGTTCTAATGTCACTTAGGAAGCCTAATCATGTTGACTAATTGAGGGGTTGCTGGTGCTTGTGTACTTCCCTCTAGGCCCTAGTTTGGTGAATGAGGGGATGCCAGTATTCACCTAATTTATCAGTGGATTTTGACTGAGATTTAATAAATATGCACAAAAAAGTGTTTTTTAAAAAATTACAGTATATCTGACCCAGGCTCAAAAGCACACATACTGACAAGCATAGATGTTCCCTGTCAACATACGTTGTGAAATGTTGGAAAATTTCAATTATCATGAAATAACTGAAGTCCATATAATATACAAAATTCAAAAAGGAAGTTAAAGACACCCTTTGAAAATCTTTGCAAGAAGAAAAGATAACTATTGGGTATTGAGCTTAATACCTGGGTGATGAAAGAATATGTACAACAAACCCCCATGACACATGTTTACCTGTGTAACAAATCTGCACATGTATCCCCAAACCTCAAATAAAAGTTAAAAAAAAGAAAATATTTGCTAGAGGTCAAGAGCTTAAACTAGTCCTTGCAAAAATGTAGGGAGATTACTAATAATTCAGTATGCGCATTTCACAGGGAAATATTAATTCCCCTATATAGACCAGGTGCTCATTATAATTAAGAGCTGGTAACCATGGAAACAAACAGCATGAAATTTATAAAATTAAAGACATGCTGGATAGAAAATGCAAATAGCCTAGGAGAGTGAATCTTTCCCTGACCAGTCTTGGCCTGATTTCCCTTGAATTGAAAGACTTATGAAATTTCTGTCTCACCATTTTTTGAGTAAAATCACTCAATTTGAGAAACTGAATTTACACTTTGGATATCTCACTTTGTTCATTTGATAATGCCTTTTTGAGTCAATTTAGACATGTTGCAGTGTATATAAGGCTAGAATTTATTGGTTAGCAGTATCTAGGAAGTGATTACTTTTAAATTGATTCTGGAAGCTTGAATGAGTACTTGAACCTTTTATGTGGACATTTATTGTGAATTTCCAGTTGACAAATTGTAAGTGATCAGTCACTTTTAGTTTCTAAATTTATTTCTCTGGCTAAATCACATAGGTGGTCTAGGTAGAACACTTCATGTTATAAACATCAGTTTCTGTGTCACGGAATGATTTATTTATCTATGAAATGGTGAGCCAAGTGGCAATAGTAAAGTTTCTTTACTCTTGCTTGTAATATTTTGATTGTTTATAAATCTATTCCCTGAGACCATTAAGACAACAGACTACTTGTCTGTAAATACTCTAAAGTAATGTTGTTTGAATTAAAAATCTTTATAATTTTTAAAATGACAAAAGATCTTACTTTCTGCAAGAATAAGTTTACTCAAGGAGGTTGCCAGATTTTCCATGTAACTTTAAAGTCAAATTCTTTGTTTTAAAGGTGGAATAGGTTAT